AGTTTTATTTTCTACAGGACCAGGAGACTTAAGGATTGTCATATGAACTGGCAGGTTCTAGAAGTATTTTTTCTATCAACCCAACATCCAGCAAAGTCTGAATAAGAATATTCTATGATTTCAAAGAAAGTGATGTGTCTAGGATATCATATTGTCAAGTTTTGGATTCCTAAGAGATATCTAAAAATTCTCTTACCAGCAGTCAGGTGGGACTCTTTTGGATCAGCCTAAAATCTAGCACAGAGACAAACACTAAACATAATATCAGGTCTGCTAGTAGTCAAGTAAAGAAGTGATCCAATTATTCATCAGTATTTTTTCTGATCAACCTATTTAGTTCCAACAATAACTTGATCCTTAGGTCTTTCAACTAGTTCCCAAATAATATTTCTCATAAATTGATTTAAATCTTCTTGCATAGCTAGGATCTAGAATTCATCAGATAGTGATTGATATATGTTTGTGGGTTTAATTATTAGGATAAAGACGGAGTGGTTCACTTCTTTCCTAAGTCCATACCGAGTTCTAACACATTCAGATGGGTCTCCTAAGATCAGTTCTCTAGGATGACTTGAATTGCACTGATGATAAGGCAATTCAAGCACTTGAGGATAACAATTTCCAAAGTTGCCTTAAAGGCTTAATGTTCATGTTGATGGATTTCATTTGTTATAAACTTTGAAGGCTTAATATGAACGTATAAAATAGATATTTCAGTTGACACATTGATTGTATATTTATTTGATAGTTTGAGCCGTAACGACTCCTATCTATCCTTTTTTTCGACTCTTATCTATCTATATAGAAGAATCAGGTTCGAACTAGGGTTCATTTATTAACCCGCGCAACATCCCTAAACGTCACGTGTGTACACATAACACGCTCGTCGGGGCCCATGCCGGTGTATCAGATTGATATCAGACAATTATTGGCTATGGAAATATTATAGCAGATTTGCTATAACAATTGGTAGGTAGCTTGTGTATGTTGTGGGCATACTTTCTTTATCTGCATAGGGATCGATGTGTTAACTTGGTGCTGAGTAACATTGGAATACACGGATTTTATGATATCCATTACTCATCACGACGATCTTTCTATAATTGTTTGCATAGGGCATTGTAGGTGTATGTTTGCATTTGTCATCATCGCTTGCAAAGGTTTGGTACATCTGTAGGTGGCCGAGTATCATCAAATTTATGCATTATTCCACCTGTCAATTGTCGTTGGAGACAATCAAATTCTCCTTCATGATGGCTTCTTTTGTTTGCTTATAGGCATGATGTGCTTTTCGTACACATGTTGGTTTCATATTTCTTGTTGTCACCTCCAAACAACTCTTTACATGCAGTACATTTTTTCATTGCATCGACAATCGGTTCATGATATGAGTGACAACATTGGTGCTATTGTCAATTGAGGGTTGAAGATTTCCATTTGACTTAGCGTTTATGGATTAGTTATGACATTCATTAAAGATTTTTGCATGATGACTTGTAGGTAGGCCGCCACATCTCCTATAATTTATTTTGGTCGTCGCTTTTGGATGAGTCAAATCCAATATTAGAGGTCAGTCATTGCGGTTCAAAAGCCCCCACATCATCTTTACAATCAAACCAACTTTTTCACCATGTTTTGATGCTTGCAAACAAACTCCACTTGCAAAAGACGGTTCAGTGTGCATGATGGATTTGACATCATATCCATCCATATTTTTGTTTCAAATTATATGGCAATCACATGTTAATTATTATTATTAAAAATTTCCATGTCAGTGCTCGTAATGTATTTATGCATGAGTTCTTTTCTTGCTTGCATGAAATTGGTGATAATGATGCATTTCACCTGTAAGCAAAAGCAAAGAATTGGTAGTAAAAATTGTGGGCCGCTGAAGCACGACGTCATACCACCAAATCTATAACCTTCGTACAAGCAAACAAAATGCATCAACAAATCCCAAAATAAACCACTGCGTATTTGGCAGACATAGTCACTTATGTAGTCGAACAACGCTTTGTATTGCATACAAATATCTTAAAATGCCTCTCATACATGCATTGCAACAGGCATGATAGGTTATATAACCATATCATCAAACATTGCATTTATATGCAAATGTGTCATATGTGCATAGCAACGGTCCTTCTAACGTGCATCTATAGGATGCCGAGAATTTCATTCAAGCGACACGTTGCAATTGCATTTCAAAAAGACCTCTGGCATGCATTTGCATGATGCCGAGAATTTCATTCTAGCATGTCCATTTGACATTACGATTGCACTTCAAAATGTCCTCCAACGTATATCTATAGGATGTTGAGAATTTCATTCTAACGTGTCATTTCGATATCACTATAACATTTCAAAAATATATATGCATGCATTTACAATAAGCAAAGAGTATCATTCTAGTGCGCCATTTGACATTATAATTGCATTTCAAAAATACCTCTGCCTCTCCATGCATTTACAATAAGCAGCAGAGTGTATCACTCTAGTGTGTCATGTGACACTGCATTTGCATTTCAAAAAATAATATCATATACACATGTGAATGCATCGTGCGAAATTTGTCGAACAGGATATACCCATGTAAGCCATAGCGAGCATGTTGTATCTACACACATGAAGTTTGAGAATGCTGCGCAGGTTAAGAAATAAATTTAGATACAAACCCAATCCTCGGTCAGCAAGTAGACAGAATTGACAAGGTTTAATCAACAAAAATGTAACAACCCATGAACTCCCTGATGATGATCATGTTGAATGTTTATCTTAGCCGAAGGTGATCATTAATTTTTAAATGCTTTCAAACCTCCACAAAATTCAAACATTCATAAAATACAAATATTTTCAAATGACCGCAAACCCTCTGATGATGGTTGGGTTGAATATAAATCTCAATCTAAGGAGATTATATGTTTTCAATGCCTTCAAACTTCTATAAATTACAAACATTTTCAAATGGTCTCATTCACCCCGATGATGGTCTTATTGACAGAAAATCTCAACCGGAATGGACCATAAACATTCAAACAAATACCTCCAAATGCCCATAAAATTCAAAACTATAAGAAAATGTCAAAATCTAAGATATTTAAATTGAAATAAATCATCAAACACTTAAAAGTATGACTACTCATTCACTCTCATCAATAGTTTGTCGATTTAGATAAATGTTAAAACTACTTTAGCTCACAAAAAGCTAATTATAATCGAGAATATTACTATGATTCATTTTCAATATGTCTATTGTCAGTAAGGAACATGGCACGTGTCCTCTAACGGATGATTTCACTGCCAAATGACATCACCTATGGTCTCGACGCTAAATGGCACCACAGGTAAACGATTATGACTAGGACCCTCTGAATCGGGTAGTTTGCCGCAAAATGGCACCATTATAATACGGTCATGATCAGGGCCCGTATGCTCCCCAATTGCATCAAATCCTTGAGATATGAATTAATATGATATAATCAATGGGGCACAAAGCTCTCTGTTAGTTAAGGTGGATTTAAATTTGTCTCCTTAGACAAATATCCACCCAGGTATACAAGGTACCCTTGGACGACGCAACCCATGTTTGCTGACAAGGATCATTTAGTCAGATTGGGTCGACTTCATCCTCTAACTAAGTAGACTATGGACCATGATGGCCTGGCACAATGGAACCACGGGATCTTGATCGGGCTCATAATCATTCTCCTCACCTTCCGTTTTAAGTGCAAGATGGTGAAATTTCTAAATGCGAATCAATGCTGCTACAATATGTTGGATATCACATATCTACGGGTGTGATGTATTCATTTGAAGACTAGCCTTAATCGAAAGTTCTCTAGTTATCAGGAGGGGTAATTAACTATATGGGCATGCACCTATAGTAAACCAGAACTCAGATCATAAAGTACTCGTAAAATGAGGACAAAATCTCTAGGTAGTGTCTTATTTCAAACCCAATCTACCTTCTGAAAAAATTACCCCGGAACTTAATCCGTTAAAACTCTCCCGAAAGAAGAACGACGGGAGGCCGAGGTACGAATTTCCGGATCCCACGGAAGGAAATATTAGATTATATTGATAATGACATAATTATTTAACTCTTTCAAAATATGAAGAGCAGTCATTATAAATTATAAGTTTTTATTTTTTATATTTAATATTTTTTTCTTAAATAATAAATTTTAAAAAATGAAAATTGTCTATCTTGGTCCTAAGCCTAGATGAATAACATCGAGGGAATTTTTGAAAAAATAAAGGCCCCTATTATAATTTTTTTTTTTGCTCCACTACTGCATTGAATATAAACAAAATTTATGAATAAATTCATAAAATAGTAATGTATGAGTCTACATGCCTCAAAAAGGTACTATATAAGCTTTCACATACGGAATAGTACTCAAAAGTTAAATGCTAATAATTAATTAAAAATAATCGCCACCATTATTTTAAATTAAGAATACAACCCTTTCTTCCACATTCATGCATACGAAGAAAAATTCCTGCCCTACTCAAATCTTCTTAAAACTCATCTAAATCCCCATTCAAATAATTGATCCTCATATAAAATGATGATCATTTTGCTTTAAAACCTCTTTTCATCCAAAACGTTGATTACAAAACTATTTTTAATTCATACATGGAGTATATGATCAAATTATAATATATATTATCATCTATAATTAATAGAAAAAAGATTATGTATTATCTTCGATGGACTATCAACACAAAAAAATAACAATCATTATTCTTTCACGCAATCTACATGAAAATATCACAAAGAAATACAATAAATTTCTCAATCTAAAAAACATATTTAGCTAAGAAAATTTTAAAAGAGATTGCATAGAAATAATCTAAAAAGTTTCAATATAAAATCCCTAGATCAAAAAAAGTGGAATAAAAGTTTCTATATCCAAAATTTTATGCTCAAACAAACAAAGGAATGTGCAGACATTGTAAAAATTTCCCCTGAAATATGAAATGAATGTAGAAATTACCCTTTTTTTTTTGTTCTGACATAAAGCTGAAGAGGATGGAATAGTGATCAAAATATGATTCGTGGTCAAAGGAGAAGGCAACAGCAACTCCATGATCAATGGAATCCAGGTGTAGAAGATTGGCGATCAAGCAGGCTTCAGCAATCTGTGATGATGAAATGTAGAAGAAAGAACTAGTTGGCGTCATCCCGTGAAAAATAAATTCAAGAATCAAAGTAAAGGATTTAGGCGGGAAGAATCGACAAATTTTGGGTTTTGAAAAAGTGTTTTAAAATATAAAAATAATATAAACTTTTTAATTATGTTTAAAAAATCAAATTTTTTAACATATTAAAAAAATAAAAATAAGTAAAGAAAAATATTTTATTCATTTCTTAACATTTTAAAAAATAAAAATAGATAATTAAAAATAGAAATTAATACAAAAGAGCCGCTTATCCAGCAATAGTTTAAAAGAATTTAGCATAAATTCTCACCACAGGAAAATGTGTGAATTCTTGCGGCAAAATTCATTAAAAATCTAAGCAATTTCGTCAGAATTAACTATTTCCGGTGGAATAATTTCCGCCGGTAAAACACGCATCGGAAAATAATTCACAGCAGAATAAATTTCCACAGGAAAAATTTCCAACGGATTTCCGGTGGATTATCGACAAAAAATAGCATTTTAACCGACAAACAAGAAAACGTCGGGAATTTCGAAAACGACGGATATTTTGAAGGAAGTTTTCTGGTGAAAATTCTGACGGAGATTTCCGCCATAAAACTGTAGATAACTTTTTAAAAAAAAATTATCAATTGAATTGATCCACTATTAGCTTCCTAACTATTCTTAACCTTGTGAACAATTTCAGAGCTTCGGCTTAGCATCCTAAAGGTGATAATAATCAAACAAATAGCAAGCTAGTAACTGGTATAATTTACATATTATTATTATCTCACGTGTTTGTCTTGAACTTCTTACCAAAAGAAAAAGTAAAGATTAAGTTGTATCAATAATTATCAGATATAGAACATACATTTCTTTCATCCAACTAATATAAAAAAGGATAAATAAACCAGACAAACTAAACAACCAGAGGAGAATAGATGCATCAAATTAGTAAAAAATTTGAATTCAAAGAAGTAAATATAGCGTACTGAACAAATCTTTTTTTTTTTTTTGCAGCCAACTAATTTTTAAATTGCTGATCATAAATAACTAACTAAAATCCATCAGCGAAAATAAATGAAAATCTGTGTTTACTCCACTCGAGATTGTCGCATTAAGCATTGACATCACTGCAGTTTATTTATTTATTTATTTTCATTACTTGGTATACATTTATGTATTCAAGAACATGTTCATGATTATGGTGGAGAAATTTTATATTTTATTTCTCAAACTTAAGTTGATTACTAAGGTTTGACATAAAGTATTTATTTAGTTCAAATTAATTTTCACTCCAGGTTATTCTAATTTGGAGGCATAAATTGTTGATGGTTGAATTGGATTTCCACTCCTCATGGTGGAATTACTGGATGGTTGTGGAATACTTGGCGAGAATTTTTTTTCTTTTATGGCAATTAGGAAGTGGAGTTTGAAGCATAGGTGGCTGATCTTCCTACTTAAATGGCTAGTAAATAAGAATAAATATTGAATTAAGGGCTATTAGCTTTATATGTTGTCATCCAAAGGAGGGGAGGTGGCTTGTTGTTGCTGTATATGGCTTATGCAAAGCTTCGGGTGAAGGAACCTTAAGTTATTTGAGAGATTTGGTTTGACATTTCTGTAGAACTAGACATATAGAATAAAACCCAAGAAATTTTATTCCAAGAAATTCAAGGGAGACGAACAAAATCTTACATATTTCACTTTGAAATCTTAAAAAAATGAAAATAGTTAGAGAGAAAGTTTTAACTTTCAAATCTCAAAGAAATGGAGCTAAATGGATTAGAAACGTCCTTGAACAGTGTCAGGCAACGGAGAGTCCAAGAGAGCTGTTTCGGAGAAAAAATTATGATATGAGAGAGTGAGGTGAACTCTGGGCAAAATAGGGTCTTTTCCGACGGTATTTCAAACTGATTTTTCAGTCAAAAATAAAATTTCTACCAAAAAAGACCGTCGGAACTTCCGCCAAGATAATTAAAAACCGATAGAATTTCCAGCGGAAATTTTCGCCAAAACTTCCATCGATAATGCATATATTTCCTGTAGTGTCTAGATTTATGATAAAAATTTTAAAAGCATACTTTTAAGACTCATTTAGCTGCCGATAAATAGAAATTACGTTTCAAAAAAATAATAGTTGTACTTAACACTCAATTGTGTGAAAATAAAAAACATTATTTTTGAGAAATTTTTTTAAGTTTAAATAAATAATGCTATTCAACAAAATCTTGGAATTCGTTAACCACTGTTTTAAAATTGTTTTCAAACTTTAAGCAAGAAAAATAAGCCCTTGGGTATTTCAATCCTTGCATTTTCTTTCTATGGAAAAATCTTCATGCAACTAGCTACTGCTCGTTGGTAAATAAAACATTAGATGCCCCTTCAGAGTCATTTAATAGAAAATATTCGAGCAATTACACCAATATTAAAGTTTGAATTCGAACAAACAAAATATAATAACTCAGAGTAAGATTTTATTGTTAATTATAACATAGCTTAAGCAAAAGTTTCACCTTTTACATTTCTTACATGCTATATCAATTGTTGCCAAATATTTAAAAAAAAATGAGAAAACGCCCCCTGACCAATCATATGTTGCCAATGTAATCTCAAAGTATCATATTTCTCAAATTTAGTCCCTCGATAATACAAAATGGATATCAATTGATCACTCGGGTAAAAATTAAAGAACATTAGGATACAAAAAATGATTTCAATTTAGTCAACAATGATACAAAATTGATCCTAATGAAGTGTGTGAGAGACAATGACCAATTGGAATAAATTTTGTCTAGTTGATGGACTAAATTAAGACTAAATTGGACACATATGAATGATCTCATAGACACTCATGACTTAGCACACGCTAAGTGTCAAAAAGGACACTAGCCTTATACTTTATAGAATAGATTGTTTCTTTTCTTCATTTTCTTTCTGATATTTTATGATAGACTATTTTATATTTCATTATATTAGAATGTTCTAATTCAATAAATGCAAAATTTTAACAAAAATAAAACTAAAATTCACTTGATTACAAAATTCGAACAAGAACTGAAATTTAAACTTGGTTTCAAAACTTGAGTGACAATCTAAATTGGATTGACATTCAAAAATTATTTGATTTACAATCAAATCACTACTTAATTTATAATTGAAAACCAAAACAGACGTACTATACAGGACTAGCAATTTTGAATTTAGGAAAGCATAGGTTTCTACTAACGATGTCTTCTAGAATCACAACTTTTCGACATAACAGAAAATAAAATGAAATCAATTAGAATGATATTTAGAAAGCTTTTAAGGATCAAAAAAAAAACTTTGTACTAGCTAGAAGCATTTACATACCATTTATAACAGGGATCTTGCCTTTAGTGGCTAAGTTGTAAATCACAATTTCTAAAAAAAAATAGCCTAACCTATTATGTACTGCATAAAAGTTTGACATCATAGTTATGTGATCAAACCCAAATTCTCATTTAAATCTAATAAAGAAAAGTTATTTCTAATATTTTCTAACCAAGTCTTTTTAGGTCTACCTCTACCTCTCTTAACATAAGTCAAATCTAATAAATCTACTTTCTTAACCGGGCCATTGGAAGGCCGCATGTGACCAAATCATCTAAGGCGATTGTCTCTAATCTTTATTTTCCACTGGAGCTACTCCAACCTTTTCACGTATGTGCTCACTTTATATCCTGACTCTAAGAGTAAAGACTCATCCACCTGAGCATCGTCATCTCTGCAACACTTAACTTAATAATATGTTTCTCTTTTAATGGCTAACATTCTGTACCATAAAACATTTCAGGTCTAACTACCATCTTATAGGATTTTCCCTTAATTTTGAGGGGAACTTTTCCATCACACAACAAGCCCGATGTATTTCTCCATTTCAACAATCCAACTTAAATTCTACTAATAACATCCCCATCTATTTCACTTTCACACTAAACAATAGACCCAAGATATCGAAAACATATATACTTATTAATGACTTGATCACCCATAGTCACAATCCCCCTACTAGATCTATTATTACTAAGATTACACTATATATATTCACTTTTAGATCTACTCAAACGAAAGCCTTTAGAGCCTACATGTACTCTAGGAATAAGACATTTAAAAAAATATATATATTGTTTTCAAATTTAATATAAAATATCATTTCTATCACTCGATATAATATGTTATTCTCAATCGTATTTGATAAAAAGAATAACCAAATTATCTTTTTTATACTAGAAGAATAACCAATAATAGGTTTGCTTGCGAACTCAAGTATTCCCATTAGGGTTACTTGTGAACTCAAGTATTTCCTATCAAATTGGTATCTACAAGGTGGAGAGGTATTTCGCCTTCAACAGGTTGACGGATGAGGAGAAATTGATAGCCGCGGATCTATGTTTGGAGGGGAAGGCATTATCATGGTACCAATAGAGGGACCAGACGAGGCTATACTGAGCTAGTGAGTGTTCAAAGACAGTTTATTAGAATGTTTCCAAACCGACAGAGGATGAGACTTCTATGAGCAATTTTTCGTACTAGTACAGGACGGACTAGTGGCAGACTACTAGGAGCGGTTCAAGCATATGGCCAGTCAGGTGGAACGATTATCCGAGTCGGCTTTGGAGGGGAATTTCATTAAGGGACTCAAGGCAGACATCAAAGCAGCGGTGAGAGTCATGATGCCTCGTGACATAGGAGAGAGCATGAAGCTGGCATAATTGGTGGAAAATCAGAAGATCCTGGAGAAGGAACCAGGAGCAGCAATTCAGGAGGCACGTACCGGATAATGACTACTCATTTAGCACCCAAAGGGCCGACGCCAGGAGGGTTTCGTGAGACCACCAAGGAGAAGACATTAGGAGGAGGAACTGGGGGGGAATTTCAAGAGGCTGACGGAGAAGGAGATGCACGAAAAGAGAGCCAAGGGATTATGTTTCAGGTGTGACGAAAAGGACCGGACTCTTCATGTTCTCACTGTC